TTTTGATGCCAAAGGAGCTCCTCCGGGTAAACATTGCTTGTCCTGCAGTTCTGAGTACCTTGTTTTTTGTAAGCAAAAACACAAGGCGTTTGCTCACACTTTGAAAATGTAGCCACAGAAAAGCAACTCGTCGCTGGCGTATACGATTTCAACTCTTGCATTGATGAAAACATTTATACAAAAACGTTGAATCCTCTGCTTGCTGCTGCTGGCCTTCCAACCCGCTGGTTGGTTGATACATCTAGGAGCGGGAAGCCCACTATTCGTAAATACTGGGGTGAGTTCTAGTTCATGAGATCAGACCTGGGTGAGAGCCCTATATTAATAACTTCAAATCTTTCAGGATCTTGGTGCAATGTGAAGGGCGCAGGCATAGGTGAAAGGCCTGTATCTGATCCCGCAGCTCAAGTCGATGCATTTGTCTATATCAAACCTGTAAGTCACAATATCTTTGTGTTGAACGTCTTGCAGTCCCAATGTTTCGATCTGATTGTGTTAATACTTCTTTTTTCTCTTCAGCCTGGTGATTCTGACGGTACTTCTAAAGCTGGAGCTGCTCGTCTTGATGCACACTGTGATCCCACGAATACAGTAGTGACCTTAGGAGCTAGTGGTGCTGACGCTCTACCAAACGCTCCTGAGGCTGGCCAATGGTTCGATGATGAGTTCGTTATGCTGGTTGCAAATGCTTCCCCTCCGTAAGTACTGTTTCTGGGATGTCCTTTCCTGCTTGTATCGCTAACGCGCATTGTTACGACAGGCTTTGAGAAGTGTCATATCTACATATCTGTGTGTTTCCTTTTCGCTAGATTTGGGTGCTGTGTTTCGGATGCATTTTTCAATACAAGTTTTCTTTTCTCTGTGTGTTAATTATCTGCTTCACATCCAAGTGAGTGTTCTGTCTGGTTGCAAAATCGGGGGTTCGGTGTGAAGTTGACATTCAAGAAATCAACCTACATCATCCCATTTGCTCGTGACCATGATGGGCTTTTCGCACCTGGATGACGTGTCGCCGTGCAAGAGCAACGACTGAATCCCACAATATTCGATTTTCTCGTTTTGCCTAAAAGGCGGCCTTCCTTTGGATTTGGAGCTGTATGGCGATTCGGAGATTTTGAAGCCAGTTCGCCATGCGCCACAACCAAATTCTTTCACTAAAGAGAAATTCAAATGAAAATTCTTATTGGTTCCTTGGCCTTGGCCTTCATTTCTAGATGTAAGTCAATCAAGAAGCATAGGCCACCCTCTGTGTGACTAACTATAAATATGTCTAGGCCATGCACAAAAAGGGACCACGACGGGAGGAAACACGACGACTACGGCAGCAGGAAATATTCAATGACGGCGTTCAAAATACCTGCTGGAGCAGGACCCGCTGCAGCTGGTGTCCTTTTTGCTGGAGCTTTGCAATATCGTAAAGCTCCTGCAAATGATTTCCGGTAACAGCTGGTTCAGTACCAGGCATGAGGTTTGGGCACCGTCATTAGTCGCAGTTCACGACCGTTTATGCAACACAAAAGGCGAAAATCATTCATCATTTAGACTTCGTTTTTGCACGTAAACATGTACCGGGAGATGCGAAAAATGCACCAGTACCAATCAGAGTCCAAGCAAAGTGTTGATGACATTGAAGGGCGATTTCCTGGCACGTTTCCACCCGCCTGCTCCATAATTCTCACATTATTGAATGTAGATGCCAATAACGGAGCGACCGCCTATTGAATTCTGCGTCATTTCCACGTTATCAAGTGCCTAACATTTGTGATACACAAGCAAGCAAACAACCAGCTTACATTCGTGGAGACCCGTAAGCAAATCGAGATCTTGTCTATAGAGTTGCAACATAGTACGCCATATTTTAACCGTCTTGACCCCCTTTCTGTAGTGTCTTGACAAACTTGGATCTGGAAACGTTGCAAAACCGTAATCAGGAACTTGGACCTCATTACCTTCTGACCTCGCAACAATGAGCAAACCAGACCGCCCACTTCACGAACTCACAGCTCTCGAACTCGCCTCATTCATCCAATCTGGCACTGTAACACCCACAGAATCCATCATTGCATGTCTAGCTCGCATCAAGGAAATCAACCCAGTAATCAACGCATTCGTGTATATATCCGAGCAGACTGCACTACAAGAAGCTGCCATATGGACTGATAAGCAGAGACGTGGTGAGGTGCTTCCGCCACTATGTGGAGTCCCGTTTGGTGTCAAGGATTTAGAGGACGCGAAAGGAATGCCAACTACGTACGGATCCAACGTATTCAAGAACAATATTGCTAAAGAGGATGCTGTTGAGGTAGCTAGGTTACGGAGGGCTGGTGCTATTTGTGTGGGCAAGACAAACACGGTGCGTTGAAAACCGTGGATTCTCGTAGCTGCGTAGCTTTTTTTTGCTCACTCTTCCGTGAACTTGATAGCCAATACTGGGAACCACAGCAAGCTGCAAGAATCTGGCGTTTGGAACTACTGTGAATCCATGGAATCGTGCTTATACTCCTGGAGGTAAGCACCATGTACTCGTTTCCAGTGGATTCAACAATCGCCATTGGACCATATCTAAACAATCCATGCTTATTAGGCAGTTCTGGTGGAAGCGCGGCAGCGGTCGCTGCACGCATGGTGCCTATGGCAACAGGCGCTGACGGTGGCGGATCAATCCGTATACCAGCGTCATTTAGCGGTACATTCGGCCTTAAACCAACATTTGGTCGAATCCCAGAACAAGAAGGAGCTCTGTTTGGTATGCAGAAATGGGTGGACTGTGTCCACTTCGGCCCCCTGACTCGATCGGTATTGGATGCGGTTTTCTATCTGGATATCGTTAGTGGTGAGTTTTGCATACTTTTCAATCCCAAAACACCATGCTTACAATAGTAAAATAGGCTACCACCCTGTCGACCCAAAATCACTCCCCAACCCACCACTCAAATACTTTCCCCTCATCAAATCCTTCCTCACGCACCCCAAACCACTTAAAATCGCATACTCACCCTACCTCGGCATCCTCCCGGTAATCCAATCGGACATCCTCACGCAACTCGATGCCGCCGTATCCCTCATACAGTCCCTTGGACACACCGTAACACGCCGCGACGATTTCAAGCTCGTCCCAGACGGTATCGCATGGAAGGAACAGACGAATGTGCACCCTGCAACCACGATCCATGGATTCGGCCTAGGAACTCAGACCCTAGCTAACGTCGCATCGTTCGTTGAAGGGCAGGAACATTTAATCGAGTCACGAGTCACGAATGGGTGGAAACGAGTCAAGGATGCTAAATTGTCTGATTTGGCAGTTCCGATGAGGTTGATTAAGAAGCTGAATGACGAGATTGCTAGGCAGATATTTCCTGCTGAGGAGGATTCTGATGAGGGATATGATCTATGTAAGTAATATGTTTTACGTTTTGGAATGTCTTTGTTTTGCTATTCTAACAGTTGCAACACTTTAAAAAGTATTATGCGCATCAATGCCATGCGACCCATTCGTCGCGAACGGAAACATTCCCAAAGAAGTGTCGGGCGTATCTGTACCTCGAGACTTTGATCTGTTTGGAACGATGATGGCATTCAAGTAAGCCCAAAAAACCTTCTCAATAGAAGTGCAATTGAAGTGGTTTTTTTCAACGCATCACTCTCAAGCGACCACATCACAAACCTTTTCTACTATAGTTGGAGTGGCCTCCCAGCATGTGTAGTTCGAACAGGCCTAACAGACAAGGGCCTTCCGTGTGCGCTCCAAATCGTCGGGCGACGGTATCGAGAAGACCAAGTGCTCAGTCTTGCAGCACAATTCGAAAAGGAGACGGGGTGTTACGATGCTTGGCCGGGTATTGATAGAATGATGACTCCACCTGCTAGAGTTTAAGAATAATCGAACGTCGATACTTCTAGGATGATGGTTACGATTTTTTTGTTCCAATTAGCGATTAAATACAAAAGCTTAATCCCATATTATACTATTACAATATTAAGCACGATGTACCATTAGCATAAGTATAAGCGCGAGCACCAATATGAGATATTGTGGTATGAGATCCAACGATGATGAAGAGTTCAGTGGTGAGCCAATACGTAACGGAACACTAGAGTTCATGAATGCCGGTCCACAGACTGTTTCTATAGCTGCGACTGCCAGGTTTTGGTAGTCGGTACCTGCGACGTCTATATGACAAAAGAACTACCCTTTAAGCGCACGATGTGAAGAATTCAACACATGAACGACATACGTTGAGAGCCAGACAAGAACGTCGCATTAGCGGGATACATGCCAGGAGTACCGTATAGCAGTTGTGCACAGGTAGTGCATTCTGTTGCTTTCATGTCAAGCCTATCACACCAAAAAAATCAGTCCCCATTCTGTCAACATTGATGCCACCTACCCAACAACCACATGAAACACTTACAAAGACGGCGCGCCCGCAGACACATTGACCAAATAGTTCGCTAGCACATTGACACTGTTTGCAGACACTTCAGCAGCACACCGTCGCTGCGTAACCGGATTCCTAGTCGTGCATTCTCCACTCGTCGTTACAGCAGGCACGATATCCGAGTAGGCGAATGCTCGTGGTGATAGCGACATGACGAGCCCGTCGACGAGGAAATTGTATATGGTGGACATGTCTGGACATATGGATTCGAGGAGGGATGCGTAGAAGGGTGCAATGTTGTAGCTAGGAGCAAAAAAACAAGGTTAGACAAAGCGCCGAGATTCTCGGATTAAGGGAAGGTTTAAAGGACTTGCCAGTTAGGATCCGTACAGATTCCATTCAGATACGTGTCGAATTGAGCATTTAGGGTTCCACGAGTGATACACACCCCGAGCGCTATAGCTTGTGTCGACCCTTGTTTTAATGCATTGACATTGATTCCTCTCAGACATGCCGGGTATCCACATGCATCTCTCTGATTCGTCACTCCTAAAGCAGAGAATCGTGAATTCCAAGCGTCTTTCAGTCAAGCCAGCATTGTTCCAAAGTGCAAGCCACGCGAGCAAAAAAGATCCGGATTGACAAGCGAAATAAAGCCCACCTTGAAGCAACGTAACAACACACTGCGTCGCACTCTTAGGCGTCGAGGGCAGCAAACTCGCATACGGCGAATTCAGAGGCTGATCTGGCACGATATCCGGCAACAGATTCACTGGCGTAGGACTCGGCAACGTTGATGGTATCGGCGAAGCATTAGGATCAGGCGACTGGAATATAAATGGCGACGGTGGGAGGTTTTGTCGCTTTTGCTTTAGATGTTGTTCAGATGGGTATAAAAGGTCTGGTTCAGACGGTTTGGGTATGGATTGTGTGGCAGTTGTAGGTACATATGGGGCTATTTCGTATGTATGCGGGAGCTTTAGGTGTGATATTATGGGGTTTCGTGGTGTAATTGGTTGGTTTGGGTTGAAAGCTTCAGATGGGGTATTTTCAGTCATCAGTGGTTGTAGGAGGTAGGTAGCAGCTATTAGCAGTACATTAGTAGTCTTCCACCGTATTTGCGGTCTCCCTTCGTCGGCTTCCCTATTAACGTGTGAGCGAGAAGATATCTGGAGTTTTGTGGTTGCACCCTCTCACGATCCAACCCAACTTCCAGAGACGTTCAAGTCAGCAGTCACACGCGATACAATCTGGATTTTGTTCACACAAACTATAGCCAAAGTTGGTTCAATATTTGGAATCGCTCAAGATCGCCTACTTTTGAAGCAACACTTATGGAACTGGGAGGCCACGATCCGTTGGAATTATTTGTATATATAAAGATGTACAGAGATGAAAGAAAAGCACTCTCTATATAAATCATTTCCGTATTCCACAAGCCATGAGATGATATCTTTGACTTGAAATACGAGCTCAGCAGGCACGCTCAGCAGCTCTCATATCGTCAGTGCCATGTGCAGATGCTGTTATCTCCCTCCTTCTCCCTCTCTCATTAAGCTTAACCCTCTTCAACGGATATTGCACAACCCTCGTAATCCTATTCGCCCCTCTCTCCACAAACACACTGGCACCAAGGCTCTCACTCGCATCACTCCTCTTAATAGTATCACTAAACCAGAAATCGCTCTGCAATACCTCTGGCGTCAATGTTATAAGCATATACCCATGTCTCAGCAAGTCCGTATACTTGACATGCGGCTCCATTTTTTTCACGAGACGCACTGCTGGTTTTTCTAGACGATCTCCAATTAGTGGAATATTTTCTAGCGGTGAGCCCGATGCTATTGATGGTGTGACTAGTTCGACTGCTACGGAGCCTTTGCCGGTAGAAGCGTTGTAGTGGGATGGGCGAGTTGGGTGGAGGGTAACGTCGAACCCAAACGCAGCGTGAATACTGTAACGGGAGTTGGAATTAGTCCCTTCTCTTCTTTGCATGTTCAAAGCAAAGCAGACACACTTACTCTCCAGTAATAAAAACATTGTTATCAATATTACCATTCTTCATAACATCCAACAATCGTTGTCGATTTGCTGGGTACCCGTCCCATGCGTCTGGGTTTAACATGTGTCCCCATGCTTTAAGTGGTGAAAAAACTACTTGATTTCCCAGGAGTCGCCATTGCGCGCCTCGGGATTGAGATGTGACGAGTTCATTGTGTAGCCATTGTTCTTGGTCATTTCCTAATGTACAAAAACGAGTGTAAACGAGTGTAGCAAAGTTGTAATGGGCCTTCAAATGTTTTGAAAGATTTCCAACCATGCACATACCCATTATCGTCCTGTTAGCATCACCAACAACCTTACGACTCCAAGCATTCTCATCCCTCCCTTCAATCCTCGTATCCAGCATGATCAAATCCGCTAGCTTCCCCAACTGAAAACTCCTGTATATTCTAGACTTGTTACTCGTTCCTGACGGACGTATCGGCATATACTCGAAATATGCTCTCGTAGCGGCGTGGACACGAGCTCGTAGTCGGTCGGTGTCAGGATTGAACGCATTGTTCCAAAATTCGTGGTCGTCCCATACCAGTAAAAGTAGAAAGTCCAAGGTTAAAAGCCATTTAGACGTGTTGAGATATTCAAAAAATCAAAACAATGAAGTTCAATTGAACTTACTGCAATCATGGGAGTGTTCAAGTGGAGTTCTTGTACGTCTGGGTCCATTTTGTATTGCGCGTGGCGTGTGCGGTAGTCCTGTAGGTTTTGAAGGTGACGGTTTGGCAATGGTATCCGGCCCATGGGTGCACCATCACCGTATTCTCCATGCGCATATTCGTATATGTAGTCTCCTGTTGTTTGGAAATATATGGATGTGTGTGTTAATGACATAAAATTGTACAAACACATGGTGTGTTGAGCGATGAATTCAGTCTAAAACACAGAACATACCTAAATGAACCACCAAAACAATATCTTCATGCCTTGCAGCAGATGCATATCCGTTGAAAAATCCCCATGCAAGGTTGCAGCAGCTAACCACTACAATCTTTTTATTTCGTTAGTACGGTCATCATGATTGTAACATTCCATATTCACACTTATACCTTGATTTGAGCAACATCCGCATCTTTGTCCGGTAAGGTCTTTGTAGATCCCATAACAGACTTGGCAATTACTGTCGTATTTTGTGCATCCTGGGTTGGTGATGAGAGTGATAGAAACTGATAAAAGTACCTAGACAAGTATAAGGGTAAGTGCTGTAGACTAGTACCTAGTGAAAACTGTCGGAGGACGTACCTCGTTGACGGTTGTAGACCTTTTACGTCGACTTTGACTGTGTAGTCAACATCAATATTAGTTGACACTGTTCCATATTGTATTCTGGTTCTGGGAGTAGATGTGTCTGATGCGTCATCTGCAAAGATCTCGTATTGGACCAAGATGGGATTTTGCACGTTGCTTGGTGTTAACTTTGTCCAAAGTCTAGAGAGAGATGACAATTAAACGATGCACCACTTTCAGCATGTTGAAGCAGTGCATACATGACAGAGTGACTCGTCGGATCACCACTCGCAACCCCATGCAAGAATTTCACTGACAAGGCCTCGTTCTCTCCCATTACTACATCCAATCTCGCAGTGTCCTTGCGTGTCTTTCTAGTCCATCGTTTTAGCAAACGTTGCATATTTGCGATGCAGTTTGCTTTTTCTACATAAATGTAGTCCAGTTAGCGAAATTATGATAAGAAACACCTCGAGGTTGTCGGCTTTGGTGAATAGTTGAGGCGCTTCGCTGAAAGACACATCGGAAGGCAGTGCATAACAATGCAATTTCAAGCTTCAATGATGTTATACTGGATATACCTTAGCTTTCTTTTTCCTTCCTCCAAAGCTTTCTTTCAACGGTTTTCGTAGTGCTTGCAGAGTTCAAGGTTTTAAACAAATCTAGCTTCAAACTACAATTAGATCGGTAGTAGACTGTCGTCGGGTTTGAAGATAGAGATCTAATTGCCGAGGTGCAAAATCAAATTGCCACTAAGTCTCGACCAGCTAAATGGTTTGTATCGTCGCTTCTCGTTCATGAAGAGCTATTTGCGGCAGGACAATCTACGGAGGCGGCGATTAAACACAACTTTCAAAGATTGTCAAGATAACACTGACACGCGATACAATCTGCAATTCCTCACACGTTCACAGAAACTATATATAAACTATTCATCACTACAATCAAGACAAAATGAAAACCACCAAGCCCTTCCATTCCCTCATTATAACGTGTCTGCAACACTATGAATATGATTCCACCTACAATAGATAGCAACCGCACTACTACAGCACCCCAGCAAGGCACTCAACCCATGCGGCAACACCGGATTCAATAAAGTCGCGTCAACGGCAAGAGGCAGATCTCCCAAATTGCTCATCAATCTCCAGAACCAATCAGCCCGTTGCACCAAATACATATGCAACTCCCGATTCAACATGGCTTGTTCTTCAGACACGTCCACCGTATTGCTTCCATGCTGACTATGAGTACTATGACTACGCCCATTAATATTATTACTATTATTGACTCGTTCCGGTGACGCAACACGATGATGTCTATGACTCGTATGTTCTCTAGCCAGCTGCAGCAATGTCCCCTGCTTTTGCACCATAGACACAGATCGCGACGATCTAGCCAGATTAATGGTATTCGACACTAGATCCAGTAGCAGATATGTAGTCCAACACGCACTAGCATATCGAGATAGCGTCCTCGTTGATTGTGTGGATGGCATGGCCATTGCGCCGTGACGAGCAAACCATCGGATGTGATCTAGTGGGTAGTATATAGCTAATACAATGGTTTGCCATGCTTCTAGACCGCGCAGCATTCGGTCGTCTCGTGATAGGTTTGATGGCGAGTCTGTTATTCCTGTTGATGAGGTTGTGTATAGTGGTTGTGACATGGTTGATGATGACATGCTGGCGGTCATGGACATGGATGACGAGAGACTTGATTGGCCACCGTTACTAGTCATACTCTCACCCATTACCACCGAGTTTTCTATATTCGGTTTATGATGGCTGCTGTTATTGTTGGTTGAGATGTTGCCATTCAGATTGTTATTATTATTACTGCTATTACTATTATGATGACGACTCCTCGTAGTATTCGGCCAATGTTGATAAGCACGGTCAGCAACCATCAACAGCCCAACAAGCCTCATGCCAGCTCTCGTATCATTCAACGCACTAGCCAGATTCAATGCCTTCCTAGCAGTGACACTGCTGAATCGCAAGTAGGACAAGTATGCTATTAAGCGTAGGATGTACTCGACTAGTCGGTAGACCTTATCGGCTGCACTGATGTGAGAAGCGAAAACTACCATTCGAGGCAGAAGTCGTTCATTGTATGATACTGGCGTTAGGTTCTTTAGTGACGAGTCCCTATGTAATAATTATGCGTTAGAAGCTGCATATTCCAGACCAAGCGAAAAAGAGGTAGACAAAGTCACAACGGATGGTTTGACGCTACAACACTTACTTCTTCTTGCCGCCTTGCAAATTGTCTTGTAACATTCTCAGCAATCTCGGGACAACGTTCTTTGGAATCATGATTCTTGAAAACACGTTACTACTGTCATTCGATGAGGAAGATACAGTAGTTCCATTGGACGAGGTGTGGTGACTCTTTTCCTTTGACGACTGTGATGATCCAGAAGCAGTTGACTGTATCACAGGTGGTAACGGGAACTCTGAATCCAGTAATAAATCAGATAGCTTCCTGCTAAACGTTATGCTTGATTCTTCAGGTAGTGGCGATCCATTCGTTGATGAAATGTTGTTGTTGTTAGTGTTAGCACCACTATAGTCGGGGGTCTGAGTCGATACAGTATCATCGTTGGTATCAGACTCGAAGCCTGTAGCTCCCACTCCACTATCCCTTCGAGCTCTTTTAAGCCTTGGAGACCTGTCTTGTTTTGCCATTTTGATGAGTGATACTGCTTGGGTCAATTAGCGAGAGCGAGTCCGGATGATCGTAGCTTGCTATAGCACCTAATTTACATATACGTCCGCCCGTGGACGTTCTTGTTCCTTCTGCACTAGCTGTTGTCAAGATGGGGAGGACGCAACTCTAGAGTCAATCACTCAATTCATGTTGTCGAATAACAACCAAATACTGGCTAAACAAGGGTAGAACCAAAGACGTCTCCTTTATAAATGGATTCGTGTTTTAAAATCGAGAAAATCTTTACAAATTACTACTGCATGTTTTTCTGTGTTGAGTTTTACAATACACCATAAGAGCCAAAAAAGCAAAGAGTCCTCATGCCATAGCTCTGTTTTTATAATAATGCTTCTCAGCCATGTGGAGGATGAGCAGCATCTCCATAGTTCAATACGGTACGTGATGAAAATCCTGCTGCAAAGGCTTCATCGGCATGCTTTTTGCCTCCTCGTCCAGCACCACGACCTCCTCCACCTCCTCTACCACTGACTCTTGGACCAAGACGACTGAGAATATTGCTATTTTTGTCATTGGCTTGACTTCCTTTACCGCCCTTGGATGGACCTAGTCTTCCTTGTATGCCAAGACGTTGAGCGACAGGTCGATTTGGAGGAGGATTATTCTATATCGTAGAGTGTCAGATATGCTGGCAAGCTGACTGCACAACACAGATTTCGTACCAGTTTACATTCGAGATATTGATCGTCAATGGCCAGTCCATTCCATTCTTGGACACATATATCGGCGTCTGAATAGTATAAATGATTGGTAAAGATGACGAACAAAACAAAGAGTAGCAATTATACCTTCATTGGAGGCAAAGGTAACGTCAGCAATTCCTTCAGATCGACCCGCGTTGTCGTAATGTAGCTTCAAGTCTACTACTTCACATCCAGGATTTTTGAATTGACATAGCTCTAGCAAATCCTGTTCTGATACCTATAGACAGTGAGTGTGTGTTGAGTAAAGAATGTAGCAATAAAGCAAACACAAACAGCAATTTAATAACAATCCAAGTACATACATTCCAGTGGATGTTTGTAACTTGCACACTGGGCCCCGGATATTCACCATAATCCGCCTTGTCATTGTTTCTCTTTCTCTGTTGTGGAGCCGGAGGCAAGTTGCCAGACACAATCATATCAAATCTCCTTCCTCCATGGCCCGTAGTAATAGACGTAGTAGCGGCGCCATCATCCATATCATTGTCGTCGCCATCACCCCCAGCAGCATTTGAGAATAAATCGTGTCTCCAATTTCCATCGACATTGCCAGCTGGAGTGTGTCTGTGATTGCTATTGTTGCCTCCTCGGCGAGGATATGGAGTCTTTCTGGATGTATGGAAGCGGCCATTGTCAATAGTCATCTTGCCACCACCTCCTCGCTTGAATCCATTATTATTGTCGTTCCTATTATTATAATTATTGTTGCTGCTGCCTCTGCCTCGGCCTCGGGAGCCTCCACGACCACGCCCAGACGGCTTCTTATTGCCAGCCATTATCTCGTCCAGTGACATGTCCAAGTCCATGCTGGCCATTGTTGCTATCTGCTTGTTTTGTATGTTCTTGATGTTTTGAAGTTTTATGAAAGTGGACGAAGCACGCTTTGCTTGACTCAACATTTCAAACCGTAATAACAGGACTGAAGGCTTCCATCTAATAAATTCACGTGCTGCCTTTGCTCACAAGCTTCGGGAATGGCTACATATTCACGTAAACCCAAACATTTGAACCCATCAGATTTCTCACATTTTGCTCGTGACGCTCTCGCTTCTGGGACTGCAATGGCCACTCTTTCAACATTTTTGAACGTGCTTGATGTGCTCAAAGTTAGAGTGCAGCTCCAGAATGGTCCACTTGCAAGCTGGTATGTCGTGAATCGTTTGTCTCACGTTTGCGCAGTATGTCGAAACAACCCCTTGATATGCGTTCATACTTCATTTTACTACTACGTTCAAGTACTACAATGACGCAGTCACGTCAATGTCACTTCCTGGTGGCCTATAACACGAAACCAACCAAAATAGGGAATACAAGAGCATGACACAAGCCTTCCAAAAAGTCTTTGCCGAAGAAGGAATACGTGGACTTTGGATGCCAGGTCTCTGGGCAACGATATGGCGAGAGCTCATCTACTCGGGCCTACGCTTTTCCTTGTACAAACCAATCCGAACCACCGTTGGATCACAGCTACACATTCCAAACCCAGAGGGGTCTCTCCTTTGTAAATCAATTGCTGGAATATGCTCTGGCGTTATCGGGTCAATGGTAGCCAATCCTACAGACGTGCTTAAAATCAAGTCACAGTCTGAAGCTGGGAGTGTGGTCAATGGAGTCTACACGACTGGTCATGCAAAGGGTATTTGCAGGTCATAAACGATCTTTTTTAGTTTCACCAATTTATATTGGATGTTTAGGACGGGTTCCCAAATATTTTACAATGGCACAGGCCATCAGGACTATATTACGAGACGAAGGAATACGGGGATTTTATCGCGGAGTGCAGGCTACTGCCTTACGCGCTATTATGGTATCTGGAGGACAATTGGTTCCATACGACCATACGAAATACCTGCTCAAGAAACATGGGGTTATGAAGGAAGGACTTCCGTTACATGTTGCTGGTTCAATTGTCGCCGGTCTCACAGCAAGTGAGTTGAGAATATCGGTCGTATTTGGTCTAGGGTCGGGACTTACATTCCACTTTGAATCACACCTCAGCGACAATGGCGGCACCTCCAGATATTGTAAGTGGTGCATAGCTTGAAAGCATCTCCTTTTTTGGCTTGTGAGCGAAGTGTCCCCACTACAAACTTTTCCAACATAGATCAAAACGAGACTCTTATCACAAAGCCAGCATGGATCGGCATCTTCTCAGCTCCCACGATTCAAGGGAATTTCTGATTGTCTGGTACATGTAAGCCTTGCAGCTTTGAGTTTTGAAACTGAATGGTGTTGGATAGTGTTGGTAGAATTCGTGAGCAAGTTGCTAAGTGTCCTTTTTTGGCATTCGCAGATTGTCAGAAAGGAGGGAGTGTCTACGTTATTTCGAGGGTAACATGCTTCATCTGTTGTTGTCTGTGGAATTGTGGATAGATACATGCCTTGACTCAAGGGTATTGTTTTTTGTTCGAATTAGGTGGTTACCTTCCTACCTCCGTCTAGCACCACACTACCTCCTAAGCCTTCCACTCTACGAACAGCTACGACTATTAATGGGTCTGGATGGCTTCTAAAAATGCGCTTCAAGTACATTGTTTTGGTGACAACTATGGCAACTTTTATTTCGTTTCATTTTGACAAACCTAACTACTACTTATATTTGCTATACAAGAATATGCTAATATACATTACAATCCCTTTTGATATGACGTATTGCTATCATGGCCTATGCTTTGACAGACTGATTATGACCGTACGCTCCCACATACTTTGATGCCTCTGCACCTTCAAGACGATATAACATCAGTAGGATCTTCAAACACCCGTCCATCATCTTTCCCAGACTCTGAAGCTTCTGACGGAGGTACAATATCACCATACTCTTCTCCTTCCTTGTGGTTTGGTAAATCACATGTTGATGACTCAATGTTGTCTGATGTTGTCGTTGGTGGTATCATAGGGATATCTGTAGTTGATTGTTGAAGTGGTGTATATGGAGTTGATGCGATTGCTGGTTCTGATGATATGGGATGGTCTATGGTCATGGTGTTTATGTTCATGCTGAGGGTTTTGATGACGATCGGTCGTAGCACTTGGAGTATTTTTCGTTCAGCTTCTGTAGCGTTGTGGGACATGAGGACGCTGGCGGTCTTCCACATGTCTGTGTGCTCTTCTGCTTTAAGTGCGAAATGCTCTTCTTAGCTGTTTTGAGGGCTGTCCGCGTTTGTGGTGGAGGAAATCACGAGGAGAGCAAGAACATTACGTCACAAGCTTCAGCGGGCCAGAAAATATGTGCCTCAGATGATGGCAATATTGGAAATCGGGTGTCTGTATGTACATCGAGACGCGTGAACTTTAGAGATAACTTGGGAACGTTTCATTACAAGAGCAAGTTCATTTCTTCTAACGTTTGCTAAAGTCAAAATTCCGATCTATATGGTGCTTCAAGGACTACGATACTAATAATATAGCAAACATCAACTTCCTACAAGTATAAATAAATGATTTCGAGAACATGAGAACCCAACAAACCAGTGGTTCATCAAAACCTAACTAGAAGAGCACAATCTGTATCTTCTCATACAGTGACTCTATCCTATTTTAAGAGAACTTGTTAGTGTCCAGTTTCAAGTATAATTCAAATACACAATCACCCAAAAACAAGCTCTCAAATTCCTGACAGGGAAGAACGCAATAACTAAGGAAAAGTCACTGTGCTTCGTCACCCAATTCGGGCTTTCCATACAAAAGGACTAATTTTGCACTTCATTACTCCACTCATCGAGGCATTTGACCTTTCAAGAGAGACGCGGTGATTAGATTTTACGGAAAGAGCAGCTGCCAAAAGATCCCAGATTGATGGGAGATGTACAAATCTCATCATTCCGTCTTTTGCGCAAAGCCTATTTTGTGCTCTTCCATTATTCAAAACAAGGTCAATTTGCAGTTCGAAAACGACCGCTCGAGTCCACCTCGTCCCAAAATGAGTGTATTGCAAAGAACGTTTGTTTGGCACCCTCCCCTGACAGGCTGTAGACAGTGAGTGATTCTTGATACTTATTGTGCGCATAGAGCCTCCCTCACAGCTCATCCAACTTTTTTCCACATTTCGAAGTTGGTGTCTTTGAATGGCCGCAGATCCAGATTACCAAAAAAGTAGGATGGAAGGGGTGCTCTTTCTATGCGATGCATGCATTATAAATACTGAAGAATCATGTGGTAGCTGCTAGGAATCTAGTTGAGGCAAGAAGATTGACGGTATGGAAAAAATCTGTTTGCTTCGAATAACTCTTGCCGAGTAGTTCCTGACTCAGGAGCACAGGTCATACCTGATGATTCTAGAGAATTTCTAGCAAACTGCTGCTGATCTCTGTCGTTGCTCAACTTGGGACCTTCCGGAAGGAGTGCTGGCATGGATGATGATTTCGAAAGCAAAAATGAAGCAACCCACACAGCACGAAAAAGCGTGGCGAAAAGCTTCTCAAGATTCCAAGCATGAAACGCTCCATACAGCTTTATGCGAGTCTTAACCCGTCGGTATCTTGTATATATGAAGCAACCACACCACACAACAAAAAAACACCAACAAAGAATCTTACTATGATCGAAATTGAGACCTATTATTTGTATTTGCTAAATACAATCACTATATAATTCAAAGCACATATAAAGATATAAAACGCTCCACAACGCGAAATCACTCCTGCCGTTGCTCTTGCGATCCTCCACCACCACTACCATTACTCACAGGGGCTTCACTCCGTGTCGTAGCCTTCATCCTATTTATAGAAAAGGCTTCCAATATCTTTGGATCACCTGGCATCCGTTTCTCACTTCCTACAAGCGACAAGAAAGCTGTATGATCAAATTTAGTTGATAATGGTGCCATAGACACTCGTGACATTGCTGATGGTGCCATAGACATTCGTGACATTGCTGATGGTGCTATAGACATTCGTGATCGTAACCCAGCGGGTTGGGATGTAACGGGTTCAAGTGTGACGGGCTCAAGTGGTTGTTCGACAATGGTTGACATACGAGTCAAGGCGGTCGCCACTTTTCGTCGTTTCTTTGCTTGTGGTTTGTCGCTTCCTTCTGCTGGTGCCTTTTTTCCTTCTTCTGCTGCTTCATCTGCTGCTCTAGTTGATGTACCGGATTCAGCAGCAGGTGGTATTGGTGGACGATCTTCGTTGAGATTCTTGGCATTATTATTCTTTGTTACCTTTCTCTGTCGTGGTTTAGCTGGTGCCTTCCTTTTAGGAGGTGCTGGTGGTGGTACATCGATGATTATAATGTCGGGATCAACTTCCACTACGTCGTCGGATTCTGCTCCTTGTTGACGAGTACGCTTCTTCTTATTATTGTTATGACTGGTCGAATTTGCAGAATCTTCGACGTCTCCATAAGCACCGTCCTCTTCAGATAACTCTATACTGACTGATGATCGACGATCCTTCCTCGTTCGTTTCTTACTGGCATCGGCGACGGCGGGAGGCTCAACAACTACTGGTTCAGGTTCATCTACGACCGGCACTGCTTTTAGTTTACGCCCTTTCGGCTTTAGTTTAATAAATTGACCCTATTTATGATGAAAATAGAAGTGTTAAAAGAGTTGATTTGGAAAGCAGGCAAAAGAGAGGGCGATGTACAGCGATCAAGTTCCGAGAACCATTACCTGTAATTCAACAATCTCAGCCTCTAGTTTCTCTTTCAGCGTCGTCCAAACCTGCTCCTTTACCTGCCATGCAGCCTCCTCCTGTTCTATTTCAGCCATAAAATGTTGATCGGCAGTCTCAGACAGAGCCAATTGTTCACGAACTGCATTCAATTCATCTTGAAGAGCTTGACGCTCTGCTCCCAGTTTAGCCAATTGCTCTTCTGATCCAGAAGTCGATGATGATGAAGCCTTGTTTCGTTTCGATTTGGCGGGTTTGTCTGCAGCAGATATGAGCGCAGCCTTTTCGATATTCCAAGCAGCTTCTTTAGCAGTCCAGAATGCATCCCTGGCAAATACTGCTTCTTGAATCTGCTTGCGAGCATCCTGAAGTTCCTTCTGTAAACCTCTCGTTTCGACCGTCTTCTCATTCTGCAACTCTTCTAGTTGAGTTTTCGTATGAGCAATTTCCTTTTGCAGTTTCTTACGTTCTCCATCCCACCTACTATCCTTATCCTTCTCATCATTCTTCTCATTCTGTAACTCTTCTAGTTGTGTTTTCGAATCAGCAAGTTCCTTTTGCAGTTTCTTACGTTCTGCATTCCACCTACTATCCTTATCCTTCTCATCATTCTTCTCATTCTGCAACTCTTCTAGCTGAGTCTTCAGAGCAGCAAGCTCTTTAGCCAGTCTCTTACGTTCTGCAATCCAACTAGTCTCCTTCTCAAGCCATTCTTCATCATTGGTATTACTATTACTACTAGAAGCGGCCAATTGTCTTCGGAAACGAGCTCGTTCAGTCTTCCATTCTTCTTCTCTGAGGAGCCATTCTTCATTAAGATTCGATGCAGCAGATAGCTCGCCTTTCAATCTTACTCGTTCGGCAGCCCATGTTTCTTGTTTCACTAGCCAATCTTCTTGCTGTTCGGTGCGAGTTTGAATAAGCGCTTTCTGGAGTTGAGTCTTTTCGGTAGCCCAGGTCTCCTGTTTATTATTCCATTCGGCTTCCAGTGCCTTCATCTTTTTCTGATATGCGGCAGCTTCGGTTTTCAAGACATATTCAGCTTCTAGCTTAGCGCGGATCTTGGCAAGTTCAGCTTCGTCTTGCTTCTTCTCTGCGTCCAAACGAGCCTAGTGTTGTTAAAAATTGAGTGGAAAAAAACTCATGTACAACAGCTACAACTCTCGATGACTTACCATACGAGCTTCATATTCCGCCTGCTTGGCTTCATATTCTCGCTTAAGTTGAGTGCTGGATGCATCCAACGTTTGATAATCTTCAGCCCCTCGTTTACAAACCGACTCTAACTTGATCACCCTTTCGTTGGATGTATCAAGTTTTTTGATACACTTGTTATAGTCGGCTTCTAGTTTACTTTTCGATGACTCAAGTGTTTCGTGTAGAGCTGATAAGGCAGTAAGTGCTTCGACACTCTGTTGGTGCCGAGTTGAGAGAGCCATATACGATTCAACACTCTTTTGATGTTTCACTTCAAGTTCTTCGTATTTGGCTTTGGTTTCATTCGAACTTGCTGCCAGGGAATTGTACTTGGGTTCAAGTTTTTCATAGTTGGCTTTGAGTTCATTCGAAGTGGCCATCAATGAATTGTATTTCAGGGTCAATCCAGAGTACTCTTCCTAAATGGTGAAAGAAGATTAGCCAAGCAGCTAGGGTGTTTTTCCGCAATACTAAATGCGCCTTTTTCATACCCTCAGTTCAGTCAGAGACAAATTTGAGGACTCATAATCACGTTGTAGTCGCTCACGAGTCTCTTCAGCAAATGCTGTTGGGAAGGTGAAAAAAATCAGACAACATAGCGACTGGAAACACACAGAAGGTCCAACCGTACCTAGCCGCGCATCCTTCAACGATAGCGACACTTTCATATCAGAGACTACTAGATTCTGCTCAGCAACTTTCTTGGCCGCTGCGTGCCGTTCTTTATTCAACTGGCTCTCATATTGAAGACGTTCTTGCTCATGCTAGAAATCAAACGTGAGTCCACAAATCAACAAACTGTTACTCTCTTAAATTACCGTCTCTGTCAATTCTTCGATTGCTTTTTCAGAAGCTGACACTTGAGAAGACAGCGCTTCTGCACTAGACTGTCTTTCAGATTCCAATTGCAGGGTAGCTTGCTCAAAGTTTGATACATGTTTGGCAAGGTCAGTTCTCAGCTTTTGCTCAACAATCTTTGCTGATTCCTACACGGGTTTGAAAATATGTCAGCAAAGACAAAATAATCCGACCACGCCTAAGGAGTTGGAAATAATCATACCAACTGCTTCTCCAAATCATTACGCTGTCCTTTTAGTATTCCCAATCTCTTATCAACAAATATCTTGGATGTGGGATTTCTCACTGTTCTGAGCAATTTCAAAAGTTGAGTCGAAGCCTGTACTTCTTCAGGAAGTGTCTCGGCAGCCTGTATGTGTTTATGTGTTGGTACGTTGCCATTGCGCATCGGTATGTCGCATTTTTTCGCTTACGTCAAGATGAAGAAGGAAAAACCCTCGACCACAACCTCGAAGAAACTCTAAAGCGAACAAAAATTGAGCTCAAAATCCTAAATGGTCAACATTGGATGATACTCACCTTTAGCAAGGTGAACAAGAGGGTGATCACCATTCATATCTACAATGCCTGGTCGGAGCAAACACGCTAAAATAAGGGGATTGCCAATTTAGATTCTGTCCACAAGAGCAGACCTTATTCCGCGACCCTTACATATGAATTCCATTGTCTTTGGTATCCTAGTAGCTGGAGGTTTGGGTGTTTCACGATTATAAAAAGCGGGCGAACGTAAATCAAACTAGGAAATCATAAAATCGTGGTCAGATGTAGTAAATCATCGTCTGCAACTTTTTTATGCGTGCGTACCCAAAATAGCTCTCCCACAGTACCATCAGCCCTTTCAACACGAACAACACAAGCATTAGGCAATGCAGAGCCTTCAAGAACAGGCTGCGCTATATCATCCACACTAGCAGGTTTCATCAATGATGAGAAATCTTGTAGACTTGATATTGGCACCTTCTTGTCGTTCAACAAGTTAATTGTGCTGGAGTCTGTGAGAGCCAACCATCTGTAATGAGAAGTAGTTAGCAGAGGACAGGACTGATTCAATAGGGTCTTACGCGTAAGACATAGCAGTCACGTCATGGATCAACTCTAGCTTTGTCTTCAAGAGGGTGATTGTGTTTGCGAGACTTGTTGATGGAGTATAACGAAACTTTTTCCTATTTGTTTGAGTTGTATCTTAGCAAATGTAGGTCAAGAAAGTGTATTCAATAGGGCGTACCCTTGACTAGCGACGAATATTCCTATTCGGTGCCCTATAATTGAGAAGTATCAGCTAAAGCCCTTACACGAAAAGACTTCTATCATTCAAAGTTCCGACCTTGTATAACATCATCTATAAGTGCATCGAGTCCAATAATCGCTTCAATCTCCTTCTCGTCGTCCGAGCACGAACCAGAAAAAGCAGTCTGATGTGAACCTGAATGTTGATTTCAGAAGAGATCAGCAAGACATTACAACAGATCCGAGTCAGTTCTACACGGATTCACCTGCTTGTATAATGACTTGATGAGTATCTTCCTTGTATGAGACTCGTCCCGTACTGGAATGTAAATGAATGAGAGGCGTGAACTGTTGAAACATTTTGTGACTGGTTTGTGGCGAGGGTAGCGAGGTAGTGGGCCTTGATTTTATTTCAAAGTCGGGTTGGCTGTGACTGGGAGCCTCTTATGAGTGTAGCAGCGTGGGCATCTCGTTACAGACCGAAAATCTTGCCAAGTGTAGGCAATTAAGGACGTTTCGGTCAACTTCTTGCAAAGAGAGAGATTCGAGGCATGAATATACGTGATTGTGAAATGGAATTACAATTGTTCCACGTCTGTAAGCAACTGTTCCGACGAGATTCAATCCAAACACAGACACATGGCAATCTTGAACTATGCTCTATTTGTGACATTAAAACCGTGCCCTTCAATTTAATTTACTCTATACTATTGATCTTTACAAAAAACGATGTTTGTACTATTATATTTACCGTCCAATGCTCAACCATCAAGCCTCTGGCACCAGAAACCCCACAAGACACTTATCCATCAACATATCTATATTCACCCACGGATGCACCTTATTGAACAATGCAGTCGACTCAATGCCACCACCTCGCAACAGCTGCTTGACACCCCCCGGATGAAAGTCCACATATGGCGTAGCATTAAACACTTTACCCCTCACACAAATCCATAAATCATCCCGTGTGGCATGTCGCGACAATTCCGACATTGGTATCTTCAATAAAGCTGGCGTATCTATACCGCGTAAATTACTGCCACCCGATTTCAGTTTGGCCCAGTCTAATGGCGAGTGTCCTGGTGTCAGGTTGACTTTCTTGCGGCCTGGAAGTGCCATGGCGGTGTTATTATCACGTTGATTTGAGGCTGGAGCAGCACGTTGGTTGCTATTTGGTGCTGGGAATGATGTTTGATCGTCATCGTCCTCATCGTCGTTGATGTCGTCGTTTAGATTTATAGGAGGAGCAATATGAGCTTGACGGCCAATATGAGCTTCATCTGGAGATAAGAGTTTATTCGGTTGCCTTGGCGCTGGAGGGCCCATTACTTGTTTGAGTTTCGCCGTTGATTCGACTGGAGCTTCAGTGGGGTTTGGTGCTTGTTTGGACGAGGGTGATGAAGAGATTGAAGACTTTTCTATACTCGCTGATGCGGCGGTATCAATATTACTGTCAGTCATGGCTTCTATATAGTCGGGTGTTGAGTGGCAGCGTAAGAGTTTGGAATATACTACAACGCGAACAAGAGGTACAGGATCAACCGATTTTTTCAAATTCACGAAACCAGTTTATTTATTACACCAAATCATATAGATCCAGCTCCATGTCTTCATCGCGCACTTGAGTGCCAGTTGTTTGATCTTGGAAGATCCATTGACGGTCCAATTCAAATCCATCGAAATCAGGTAATCGAACGTTCAATTTGCTGATTTTTGCGACGGTTTATTCAAGAGGTTCTGCCAAGTTTGTAACTCACTGTCGTTGACAAACGCAGATTCAACTTCCAAAGCTTGCAACCTTTTACAGGATAGATAAACAGCCTAATATAGACAACGGCAGACAATCTAATATAAAAAGCGACACGACAAAGACGACAGCTCAACACAGCCATTTGAGATTTTGGCCATCTTACGATAAAACCGTGATGATTGTGATGCAAGACGATCTTTGGGCGAAGGGGTTGGATTCTCAGGGGTTCCGCGTCTATCACGTCATTATAGTCTGTATGGCCAACACTAATACAGATACCTTGCCATCCAAACTACTTATATTGGCGTTGTTGTATGTCTTATGTACATCGTAAAAATCAACTTGCGAAATGTTTATTATTTTTCTCTTCATTCATCATCTCCTTCACCACCTTCACCTTCTTCCTCATCGGTATCCTCCTCCTCTTCGTCGTCGTCACCCCACGGAATTGGATTATCAAGATTACCTCCTGCCATACCACCCAACGCCTGTTGTTGATGATCAGCTTGCATATGGGCGAGTAGTTGCTGCAACTCATTATGTGCGTGTAATTGATTCTGGATTTCCAATTCTCGTTGCATGTTGAGACGGTTCATTCTTCTTCGTTTGGCAGGTCTTTCTTGGCTTTCTGCTTGTTGAGCTTCGACTGATTCTTGTAATGTGACTAGTTCTTCCGGTATTTCGCCATCGTTTTTGGCGGCTTGTAATTCTCGTTGGATGAGGGTTTCGAGGAGTTCGTTGGCTTTTTGAACGCATGCTGTGACATGGCGTGCCCTCCAGCGTGATGGAAGCACCTGTTGGCTATAATTCATGATACTTAGGTTAATATTGAACATTCCAGAAGAACGACCTTTGTTCTTATATCTATTCCCCTTTTGAACATACCTCTGTTCGCGTAGAAAGGTGTGGAATTCACCGATAGCCTTGATGTTCTGTAAGCGAATATCCTTCTGGCTGTTGTGATAATTCTTCCATGCATCATGTAGTATCTAAGCGCGATTGTGCGATGATTCAATATCGATAAGATACTCTTTTTGCCAACATTTACCTTGCCGAGCTCAACATTCAGGTCTCGAGTAACATCTGGCCGATTCAAGAATTCCTCTGAATGGATAAAAGTAGCAAATTCTTGTATCTAAAACCACACAAAAAAAATCGTTCAGCTTGCATCCGAATGTCAATCAACTTGAAAGTTTGAAAGTTGATAATACCTGATCTGGCCCACTAGCCTTATCAAACGCAGCCAACTTCAACAACTCTGGCAATTCCTCAACATTACAATCAGCTTTAAGCAACGCCCCCACAACTTCACTAGCCCGACTACCTCCCTCACTCCTCAATTCAATCAGCCTTTCCAAAGCCAGAACCGGGAGAGACGCATTCTTCATCAATTCCGCGGCATCAGCATTCTTCATGTACGTTTCACACGATGCCAGATACTGTGGCAAGTCATTCGAAGAGGCAAAGTCGTATTCTCCAAACCTAAAAAGACCCAATCCATGTCAGCCCTGTCTCCAGTACCAGAACTACATCGTATTCGTGTCTCACCAGTTGGTATCATCAATAGTGCTTTGTATAGTCAATATCGGGTCAATCGAAGCATTCAGGTCATCTATGAGCAGTTTACGGGCTGCTCGTACCAGACCCTTGAGTTTGGGCACGGGCAGAGCTTGCAGTTCGAGATCAAAGCAATATAGATATTTCAGACATGATTCGACATTGTCGACATAGTCGTCGACGCTTTCATTCTCGCCCAAGTCGTCTTCTCTTGGAGACAAGTCCACTTCCCTAGATGTCGACTCTCTAAAGCCGTGAGATAATAGTCCTTGGAAGTATTGTGATCGAGATTGTAGGACTTCCGATTGCTAGAAAATTGTAAAGATGTATGTCAGAAGGAAGACAAGGTATGCAGGAGTGGTTGCGTTTACCAGCCAGATGCGCTTTTCAGGCGTCAAGGAGACGGCAAAGTCCGAGAGTGGCTTATTATCCCAGAGCTTTCGCACAATGCTCTGTGGATCAAACGCTAGTGCCATGCTCAACTCCAAGATTTGGTGTTTTTGATTTTGGTTAACTTTTGATGATTTCAGTCGGTGGAAGGGGATAAACCTATATATGCTTACAGACTATGATGCAAGTATCGGATAAGATGCTCGCTAGTCCTCTCGTAGAGTTGTTTCGGCTGATTTGGCTGGGTTGTTAAACAGGTGTTTGTTTGAAGACCTGCAAGAAACAGCCGTTCCGTGGGGCAGGATGGAATGCCAATTCGGTTGGTCCAAAAGTCCCGGAATACTCCTAGAGTTCGATGCTTCCTCGGCTTGAGTTTCCAAGAATGCACTTCGTGACCGCAAGAAAGGCGAAACTCAGCATTCAAACGTTCCCAACCAGGATCAATTGACCTTGCACGATATATTTAAACATGATTTGAGAAATGAACTTATAAACCCACAATGACTGTGACAAACATAAAAAAAGGACACCCAACTACTCTCAGACTACTACTACTTAAACGCGCTGAACATTCACCCTAACCAGATTACCATTCGCATCCCGATACACCAGATTCATTTTCCCCCGTCCATTAGCGCCAGTTGTCATACTCTTCGATTTAGCAGCACCCCGTGCAGCGAATCTCGACGTTTTGCTTACAGGCACTGCCCGTGGCTCCTGATATACAAAGTTGGCTGGTCGTGCACTAGCTGCTATCACAGGCGGCACTACAGTCATCGATACACTACGAGCTGGAACCAGCGGTACATTTCCATCTGCGTCAACCTCAGACGAACTAGACGACGACGATCCTCCAGACTCGGCAGACGAGTATACCGGACTACCAACAGCCCATATCGTCGCTTGTGGTTGCTGTACTTGGTATTGTTGCTGCTGCTGATTATAGATATATGTGGTTTGTTGTTGCGGGATGGTGATGGGTGCTGGTTTGCTGCTCACTTGTGAACCATAGCCTGAATCAATACGCTTTCCACGTTGCTGCATGTTGTTTCTGGATACGGGGATTGGTGGTGATTGCATGGTGGGTACGCTACGTGATGTCCGTGGTCCAAGACTTTGGCGATTATTGTATGTGGCGGATGTGTTGCTGGTACTTATAACCGATTGACGGCTATATTGTTCTTGTTGTTGATACTGATATTGTTGTTGTTGCTGCTGCTGAGGGGGTAGTGGCCATGCCTGAGGCTAAAAGAAATCATAGCTTGTGAGCCGATATTTGGACGAGAGGCAAAAAAGCGAATGACGCGGGTAACGGACACTCACTGGTGAGATTCCAGTATTAGCTGAAACGCTGGGAATGAATTGTTGCTGTAACTGCGGCATCTTTCGTGGCGGTGATCGTCCCCCAGCACTCAACATCACCGGCGGCACATGTGGATTATTACTAACCATTACAGGTTTCAACGAATTAACGGGCATTGTTGTTGCCGTAGGAGATGCTACCAGCGCAGCCGACGGTATTACAAGATCCGAAATCATACTATCTGGTCTTATAGGTCTACTATGTGGTGACGCAATCAACGAGGCAGTCCGCATAGGGTAGAGTTCCGGTTCGTCAACTGACATTGCAACTACCGGCGTTGGTTCTGTGGTTGACATATCGGGGGTGGATTTTGAGCGAGTCATTGCTGCTGCTCTGTCGACGTCGACAGCGGTGGTGGTATTGCTACTGGGTACAGTTATAGGCACGGATTTTCGTGCGTCATTGTTTGGGCTGGCAGCAGCAGAAGGTGGTCGTTTACGTGGTAGAGATCCCTTTTCACCGATAGATGCTCGGCCTGTTGATGCTACTACGGGTGCAGGTGTCGCGGCAGCAGATGACACGACACTTTGTGAATTACTACCACCATTACTATTATTTCCAGCCAAGGTGGGACTCACACTCATCATTTCTGACGACTTTTTCGATGGAGCAAACGAATCAACTGATGCCCGTGTCCCAACAGGAGTACTTGGCCCCTCTGGTAACCCTTTAGCAACCCTCACAGAAGCCTCCGCTTCTCTCCGTTCATCACGACGCCTCTCCAGCCTCTCTCCTCGTACCGCATTATTCCAATTCAGCAATTCACCGCGACGTGCCATTGAGCACTTAGCTTCCAGCGTATCGAGCACAGCGGATCGCCATTCGACGGGCAGCAAATCGGTATCCACTGTCTCTATTTCTGCGGTCGCTAGATAGAGGAGACCCCAATGAGGTTCAGAGTATACGCGATAGTCGGTTTGGAATGAGTCGACGGACGATAAGGAGCCTGTTGATGCCGGGCGTCTTATCGGACTCATGGCTGACGCTCTCGGATCTTTGGGTTTCGAGTTCCCTCTTGGTCCACCTTCGCGACCTCGAATACCGACAAAGCCTTCAGCGAGTGCTACCTGGCGAGTAGGTAAATCCACATCATAGCAAAAGGCCTATATGGCGAGATTTAGAACTTGCACAAAACAAATGGCAAAAAACCATGCAAAGATCACACAAAAGCGAGAAATATAACACAAGTCATCGCTTACCCCTGCCAGTATCGTAGCCCACGAACAAGCCGTAATCATATCAGGGAACCGCAACTGCAGTATCCTAGGTGGTGCCGGATCACCAGCAGCGCGGTAAGCCGGCGCAGGACGTAAATCCAACGCCTTCAAATCTCCACTCATAGCCCCTCCACGTCTCGTACTAGCCATCCTAGCCAACCGCTCTTTAGTCTTGAGCTCTGGA